TTTGCGGTTCCAGACATGTACTTGGTTTTTATGTATAAAATATAACCGAGTTTGAGAACAACCATCTCCTGAAGTCTCATTCATGTCTCCATTTCTTTTGCTGCGGCGGCTCCTACTATCTCTTCCTGTGCTGGCTTTGGGTTTTGCATCTTCTCTTATGATTTAGTTAATGTTCGTCTCCGACGCCTTTTAGCTTCCCATGTTTGCTCCTTCAAAGTAAGGATTAGCTAACAAGAGACACATCTTAGTAGTAGTAGTAGTAGGTGAAGGTGTGGTTATGTTGAGGCCGGTTTTGAGTTGGTGAGGTTTAATTTCGATGTCTGAACTTGTGTTTCATCGGAAAACATTGTGGTTCTTTTAGTATGGTTATGTCTGGCAAAACATCATTATTGTACACCTGATTCTTGATTCAAAGTATCTCTTTCACAACAATTTTATAAACATTAACAAAGATTTGGATTTCAAACACTTTTCAATATACAGAAATGTACATTAATTACATTGCACAAATTCATCCATAAAAGAAAATAGAACACTAAAGCTTTCAACTTGAATCTTCCTTCTTATATTGTAATATCTTGTTGCTCGTTTAGTATGGATCATCGCATCTTGTACAATCCACAATTTCTGAGGAAATTACGAGTCCAAAAGACACAAAATTAACTATATATGGATAATGGCTACAGGATTCAGTAAATAAGAGAGTAAGAAAGGTAATAATTACCATTGAGTAACAGGATTCTGACTTTTGTAGAATTTGGAGAATCTACCGCGAGATTCAGGTTTGGGTTTAAAGGTTTTCTTCCTCAAACCAAAGATCTCTTGTACGAGAGGAACATGGCTTAGTACTAGCTTCCATGCCAGAAACCACCCTGTCAAAGACAATTATGCAATACCCAGATTATCAAAATTGAATTATCTGAAAGCTCATAATCTCATCAAGTAAGACCGAAAGTTTGAGAAAGAAAGAGTACAAAGAGCTATGAAGCAGACAGCAAAGGAGATCGCTAGAAGTGGACGTACGATGAAGAATAAAAGATAGTCGAGGAACGAAGGAGATTCCATTGAAGAAGCTATCGATTAGGTTTCAAGTTTCAACGATCTGTGTTTGGGTGCGAATTCAGCAATTGTTTTTTAATTACGGGGAAGGAAGGCTATAGGAGAATCGTATATGGGCCTTTAGAAGGCCTTATGTTTCTATTTTATAACCTCCTGGGCCTTTTAAAATGTTTTCTTTGTATACGAAACCCAGAACGACTAAAAACTATCCAATTTTAACTTCCAAACTAGTATACCACGACAATTCCATAAATAATATTTTTTTTTTAAAAAAATCAATACCATCAAAACAAAAACATTATGTTTAATAATTTTTTTATGTTTTTCAGTTATACCCTTATTCTTATATATAAATTTAATTTATCATTAATGGTAATTTTATGATTTTTATTTGGACTAAAAATATATAATAATGAGTTTCATTAATGAACTAATTTTCTTTCAAATTTTATAAATTTTTTTGCGGGTCAGATGGGACAAAATTTTTGAGTCGTAAAAATGACTCAACGTACTACAAAGCGGGTCTGATGAAACGAGTTTGCCTCAGGCGTAATTAATTGATATTATTTTTTACAAATAAAACAACACAATTATATACAATACATTTACATAGATATTGATGATAATAATAAATTCAAATCTACATTAATTTTAAAAAGTTATATTAGATAGTAATATTTTGTAACTAAATAATTTTATGAATTAATCACAAAACAAAAAAATAGATCATTTAATTGTTAAATATACAATCTTTCTCAAATACAAATTTGAGATACAACCATTGTTAATATATTTAGAAACATAAAAAATTTGTCAGAGACATTGTAAAATAAATAAAAAATTCACACTCGTATGATAACTTGATCTTGATCTGTGATATTTTATATCATCTAAACAAAAGACTTATCGATTCATCTATAGATAAAATAACAAAATAGTACTCGTGGATTTTAAGCGTGGATCAAAAATCTAGTTAACCTTTAATTATTTTTACTGTGGAATACTTCTCAGAGTTTTTCTAAAGTTCAAAAAAAATTACCATAATAAGTAAATATTATACATAATTTTCACTTAAAAAGTACATAAGTTATACGTTTAATTAAGGGACAATTTGCCTAATATTCATAAGGGAAGCGTTTATTAATAATATAACCATAGCATTTTGATTTGACATTTGCACACACTTTCTGACGATATTAGCCTTTCACTCGCGTACGCGTGATTATGAGACGAGTGAAGTGAAGTGAACCATAAAAACCATAACAAATGTCTTACGAGAAAGCAAGGACTATGTAACAATGTGTACTATACTTTAAATGACGATAGTATAAACCATGGTTGGAAACATAAGATAATATCTGAAAAAAAGGAGTTCGTGTAACTGTAAATGGGACGTACAAAACGGAGTTATTGTGAGTGTAAATGGCACTGACAAGCAAATATATAAAGTGCTTAGGTGACTATACTATAGGGGGATAGTATAATAATTAGTGGCTAACATACAAAATATGACAAAATAAGGTTCGTATAAGAGGAGACATGGAAATACAGAACGAGTTGATTCTACTAAAGTAAAGTAGACGTGGAATAAACATAATGCATATAGCATGTTAACCAGACCGAGAGTTCTCCTTACTGAGAAAAGAGGATTATACTATAGGGCCAATAGTATAGTAAGAAAGAAACAAATTAAATTACCAGACTAAAGGAATTCCGGACTACGGGGTCATGAAATAACACAATGTGTATGAAACCAAACCATTAACCCAATATATATATGTTATATACTATACTATAGTATATATTGGATAGTATAGGGAATACAATAACACATAAAGCAACCTTCAAGATTAACATCCAAAAGGGGTACACTATATTGAAATGCGACTGAATATATGAAACTAAATATTCAGGTGTTTTGAGAGGAAACATATAAACATGCACGAAATACAAAATGAGAAGAGTGACACATTTCTAAAATGAATTTACATACTATTGTATACAAGTACTAGTATAGAAAATATAACATCGTACCTCGTAAACCACCTACAAAATTACATTCCATTTACAAAATAACAATTAAGCATAGGGTCTATCAGGTGAAACTGTGTTTATTGTTGATAAGTAAAACTGTGTTGATTGTTGGTAGGTAAAAGATAGAAGGAGAGGGAGAGAGAGGGGAGAGGGAGGGGGACTTGGACAGGGACATAGAGAGGGAGAGGGAAAGGGAGAGGGAAAGGGAGATGGAGAGGGACAGAGGGAGGGGGAGGGGAACAGAGAGAGGGGGAGGGGTTGAGGGTGGGGGAGGGGTATACAATAGCAGGTGTCATGTACGTATAGGTTATATACTATACTATAGTATATATTGGATAGTATAGGGCATACATTAACACACAAAGCAACCATCGAGACTAACATCTAAAAGGGGTACACTATATTGAAAGGAGACTAGATATATAAAGCTAAATATTCAGGTGCTTTGAGAGGAAACATATAAACATGCACGAAATACAAAATGAGAATAGTGACACATTTCTGAAGTGAATTTANATACTATAGTATATATTGGATAGTATAGGGCATACATTAACACACAAAGCAACCATCGAGACTAACATCTAAAAGGGGTACACTATATTGAAAGGAGACTAGATATATAAAGCTAAATATTCAGGTGCTTTGAGAGGAAACATATAAACATGCACGAAATACAAAATGAGAATAGTGACACATTTCTGAAGTGAATTTAAATACTATACTATTGTATACAAGTAATAGTATAGAAAATATAACATCTTACCTCACAAATCATCTACAAAATTACATTCCATTTACAAAAGAACAATCAAGCACAGGATCTATCATATATGAAACTGTGTTCGTTGTTGATAGGTAAAACTGTGTTGATTGTTGGTAGGTAAAATATAGAGGGAGAAGGAGGGGAGAGGGAGGGATACATGAATAGGGACATAGAGAGGGAGAGGGAGAGGGAGAGGAGGAGGGGGAGGGGAACATGGAGAGGGGGAGGGGTTGAGGGAGGGGGAGAGTGGGAGAGGGGGAGGGGGAGTGGGAGTGGGAGAGGGAGAGGGAGAGGGAGGAGGAGTGGGAGAATGAGATGAATCGTTATACGGTTACTATACTATTAATTTTCTCATATAGTATAGACTTATACTTCATCTTCTTCATCCTTCACTGTTGCACCCAATCCCACCGTAAACTAAACCCCACCGTAAAAAAATTGGATTGTGATCAGATATAATGTATTATAATTACAGTTTAAACTATAACTCTGATTTCCGCTTTCTTCCGTCACCGAATTATTTACGTCTCCTCGATCTCTCTCTTTTTCCCAGTTTGTATTACAACTACAGTTTAGAAAACAAAAGTTACGATTCGTTTCCACGCGCAAACTGAGGATAAAATGGGAAATAAAGAGAAAAAAATCAATCCTATCATAACTAAAGCCTTGCTATGGTTATTTTTTTTTTTTTTTTGGTTTTTATGGCTACTAGGCCTAATTCCCCTTTAATTAACTCAAAATATGGATATAAGAAGAAAAAAATACCCTGACCAAGAAAAGTATTTAAATAGTATCCTCACAAAAAAAAAATTATGTGGAGAGAGAGAGAGAGAAACATTCAAAAATCAATTATTTATTATTTTTTTTTTTTTTTAAAAAAATCAATTATTTTGAAATTAGGGTTACAATACACGAAGAAACGGACAATTTTCAAATTTCAAAAACACTAATCGGCGCCTCAGATATTTAGCGTTATAAAAAAAGAAAAAACATTAAAAAAAACAAATAAAATAAAAAATACTCACGCTAATATAAAACCCATTCACTCACTCCACTCGCTCTTACTTCATCTCTAACCCTAGATCTGCCCCTCTCCCTCTCAACCGTATCTCGTAGCTTCCTCTCCACACCCCCAGCGAAAATGCGAGAGATCCTCCACATCCAAGGCGGCCAATGCGGAAACCAGATCGGAGCCAAGTTCTGGGAAGTCGTCTGCGCCGAGCACGGCATCGACCCCACGGGACGTTACACCGGCGACTCAGATCTCCAGCTCGAGCGCATCAACGTCTACTACAACGAAGCCAGCTGCGGAAGATTCGTCCCTCGCGCCGTTCTCATGGATCTGGAGCCTGGAACCATGGACAGTCTCAGATCTGGACCGTACGGTCAGACCTTCCGTCCTGACAACTTTGTTTTCGGACAGTCCGGTGCTGGTAATAACTGGGCGAAGGGGCATTACACTGAGGGAGCTGAGTTGATTGATTCGGTGCTTGATGTTGTGAGGAAGGAGGCTGAGAACTGTGATTGCCTTCAAGGTGTGAGATCTGTTTTGGTTGGATGTGTGTGGTTTGGTTTAGTCTGGTTTAGGATAGATTTGATTTGATTGTGGTTTAGTTTGGTTTAAGTTAAGTGGATGTGTTGAGCTGTGTAACTGTTTGTTTCTTAGTGTGTTGATTTGTTGAGGTGTGTCTTGTTTTTTTTTGGTTTATTATGGTTTAAGGTGTGTTATTCTTTTGGATCTGTTTATTAATGTGTATAGTTGGTTTAGTCCGGTTTAGGATAGATTTGATTTGATTTGATTGTGGTTTAGTTTGGTTTAACTTAAGTGGATGTGTTGAGCTGTGTAACTGTTTGTTTCTTAGTGTGTTGATTTATTGAAGTGTGTGTGGGTTTTTAGGTTAATTAGGGTTTCAAGTGTGTTATTCTTGTGGATCTGTTTATTAATGTATATAGTTTGTTTAGTCCGGTTTAGGATAGATTCGATTTGATTGTGGTTTACTATGGTTAACGTTAAGTGTATATAAATGTAAACAACATTTCAAATTGAATAAAGAATGTGTAACTGTATGTTTGTTCTTAGTGTGTTGGTTTTTTTGTTAGCCAGGGTTTTAGGTGTGTTATTCTTGTGGATCTGTTTATTAATGTGTATAGTTGGTTTAGTCCGGTTTAGGATAGATTCGATTTGATTGTGGTTTACTATAAACAACATTTCAAATTGAATAAAAGAATGTGTAACTGTTTGTTTGTTTTTTAGTGTTGTTGATTTATTGAAGTGTGTTTTTTTTTTGTTGGTGAAATAGGGTTTCAGGTGTGTCATTCGTTGGGAGGAGGAACTGGATCAGGGATGGGGACTTTGTTGATTTCGAAGATAAGGGAGGAGTATCCTGACCGTATGATGCTGACGTTCTCTGTGTTCCCTTCGCCTAAGGTCTCTGACACTGTGGTTGAGCCTTACAATGCTACCTTGTCTGTTCATCAGCTTGTGGAGAATGCTGATGAGTGTATGGTTCTTGACAACGAGGCTTTGTATGATATTTGCTTCAGGACTCTCAAACTCACCACACCCAGCTGTAAGATTATATACTTGCGTGTGAGATGTCTTTTTGGTTCTATAGTAGTATATGCATTGGTCTTATCACTACACTAAATCTTTAAGCTATTGTTTTCTAATACTAATGGCGTTTTACTTTCTGGTTATTTTGGTTCCGCTTGTGAGATGAGCGATACTCTCAACCCAGATTAAGATTATCAAATGCTCTAGTGAGTTGAAATTGTACTGCCTGCCTCATGGTCTTTGATACAAAGATATGCTTTTTTTTTGTTTTTATAGTTGATATGCTTTGTGTAGATGATGAACATGATTTAGTCATTGTTTCGTATAGTAAGTTTTGCAATTTCTTCACGACTGATGATGCTCTCGCTAGCTTTACATAAACATCCTGTGCTGTGTTATTTGCTCTGTTTGTTAATCTTTGGTCATTTGCGTTGATCTCATCACCATTAAATCCTTAAGCTATTGTTCTCTTACTAATTGCATATTACCTTCTGATTATATGGTACGTTAGAAGATCATGATTATGAGTTGAAAGTACAGTGATATCTACTAGCTCTGTTGTTGTCCTTGCATGTTTATTTTATGTATATATTTATTTGGCAAGTATGTAACTCATATACTAGTTGTGTTTCTCTCTTTTTGCAGTTGGTGACTTGAACCATTTGATCTCTGCCACAATGTCTGGTGTCACCTGCTGTCTGAGGTTCCCTGGTCAGCTTAACTCTGACCTCCGTAAGCTTGCTGTCAACCTTATCCCATTCCCTCGTCTCCACTTCTTCATGGTGGGTTTTGCTCCTCTCACCTCAAGAGGATCTCAGCAGTACCGTTCCCTCACAGTCCCTGAGCTCACCCAGCAAATGTGGGACTCCAAGAACATGATGTGCGCTGCTGACCCAAGACACGGGCGCTACCTCACAGCCTCCGCCATGTTCCGTGGCAAGATGAGCACAAAGGAAGTGGACGAGCAGATGCTGAACGTGCAGAACAAGAATTCTTCCTACTTCGTTGAGTGGATCCCCAACAATGTGAAATCAACGGTCTGTGATATCCCACCTACTGGTCTGAAGATGGCTTCCACTTTCATTGGGAACTCAACATCGATCCAAGAGATGTTCAGGCGTGTGAGTGAGCAGTTCACTGCTATGTTCAGGAGGAAGGCTTTCTTGCATTGGTACACTGGTGAAGGAATGGACGAGATGGAGTTCACCGAGGCAGAGAGTAACATGAACGATCTTGTGTCGGAGTACCAGCAGTACCAAGACGCTACTGCAGATGAAGAAGGTGAGTACGAGGACGAGGAAGAGGGAGAATACCAACAAGAGGAGGAGTACTGAGAGTAAGTGTGTTGTTATCTTGAACCAGTTTAGTTATTTGTTTCTTTAAAAAAAATGGAGAACCTCAACTACCAGTTGCAGGTTTTTTCTTATGCTTGTATTGACAAAACTCTTGATCTTGTTGATGACTTATTATGGTGTGTTGTTTGTGTACTGAGTTTGTTTCGGTTTTTCTGTTTTGCTCTTTAGTTTAATGAGTATTTAGTATCTAACGGCTGCCCATGTTTATTTTTACGTTTTTGAATATACATTAGCCTACTTTATATGTATCATGAATTGAATACTGCAAAAACACATAATAATTATAATAAGTAATCAACTCTAGAGGCAGAATTTTGGAACACCTATACCTTGTATAGACGTACAGTCTTTCTGCGTAAAACCTTATCAGTCTTTTGGACAACTTGTATAGACGTACAGCTTTGAGACTGGAAGATCATAAACAAACAGCTTGGAGACTGGAAGATCATAAACCACAGCTTGGAGGATAAACTTGCAGATTACATTTTAGTTTTTTTTTTTTGTAAGGATGAGCTGATCTTACCCAAAACAAAATGTCCTCAAAGTCCCCTGGAGGAGACAAATAAGGATGTGTAATAAAAGAAGACCAAATCTAAGTTTAGAAAGTTTTTTTCTAATGAATAAGTTGAGAAAGTTGCAATAGAAGAAGAGATGGGATACTTTCTTTTTAAATAGGTGTGTTGCATTACATGCAGCAACTCAAACCATTAAACCTTACCGACGAAGACAATCAATTCCTTGAAAGATAATCTGTCAGACTGTCATGAACAAAAACCCAATAGGGACAAAAAAATATCAATATGTTATAGAACCGGTACGTTAATTATAGTAAATGACTAGGGTAGACCTAAAATTTTTTTGTCATAAATATAGATCTTAACAATTAAAATGACCAAAATAATATTTAAATGTTTTATTAAATATACATTTATACCTCCTGGGTTAACTAATCCTAGATTTTTTGGTTTAGAGTTGAGGAGTGGAGTTTTAGAGATAGAGTATCAAATTTTTTTTAAAAAAAAAAAAAACTTAAAATTTTCAAAATAAAAAGTGTCATTTTAATTTTTGAGATCTATTTTTGTGATAAAGCTTAAAAGAGTGCTATTTGAGAGAATTGTCCCAATTGTATAAAAGAAAATTAAATGAACACGATTACATATTTACATCACAGTCATAAAATAAATAAACTATGGAGTCTTTTGTACTTGGGCGGGTGCATTACTGGCCCCTATACTTGAGCCGGCCCTAATATACCAAAGGCAACCCTATATTTATTTAGGGTTTTGTAGAGATACATAACGTCATATAGACTTGTTATATAATTTATTAATTAGTGTCTAAATAACATTTTATATCTATAATTTATAAATAAATACATATATTATGTTATGTTTGTTATTAAAATAATGAATGATATCGGTAATTATATAAATTCTATTATATTTTAAATGTAAAATATTGGTCTTTTAAACTAATTTCAAAAAATTAATCATAATTTTTATTCTTATTTTTTTTTAAATTTAAATTTATTTTTTTCATTATAAAAATATATTTTATATTATTAAAAAAAAAAAATTATATATAATTATTTTTAATTTTATATATTGTATATGCAAATGCTCTTCTTTGACAAATGTTGATTGGATAACATAGAAGTTGCATTACATGCAGCAACTCAAAACCATTAAACCTTACCGACAAAGACGATCGATTCCTTGCAAGGTAATCAACAACCCAATAGGGACAAAACAATATCAATATGCTATAGAACCGGTACGTTAATTAGTATGCTCTCATAAATATTGTATAAAATGTTTTTCAGAACAGTAAATGATTTTATATAAAAAATTATCATATTTTTTTTTTTGTGAAACGATATATAAATTATCATATAAGTTAGTATCAGATATATAACTTGTTTATTTATAAATATTATAAGTATATTTATATTTATAATATATAGTTTTAAGCGAAGGGATGAGATTTTGATTTAGTACCAGAGAAGATAAGAAAAATAAATAAATTATGGGGCCTTTTGTACGTGGGCCCTTGGGCGGGTGCATTGCTGGCGCCTATACTTGAGCCGGCCATAATATACCAAAGGCAACCCTATATTTATTTAGGGTTTTGTAGAGATACATAACGTCATATAGACTTCTTGGCTAAGGCAATAAAATTGTGCATCCGCATACTTCTTAACAAAGGTAACAGAAAAAGGCTAAAGCGAGGCCCCACGAGAAGAATTTCAATCTCATGTCCAAATCCGACAGTGATTTTTACATTCCTCTCGATCTCCAGATCAATATACTCTTAGGGTTGCCTTTGAAATCTCTGTCAAGATTTAGATGCGTCTCCAAGCTTTGGTTATCTATCATCACCAGCCGAGATTTCATAAACCGGCGCTTGAATATCACACCTCCTCCTCGTCTCCTCATTGCTTTTGCCGATTTTCACGGAGCAAATATTCTGATAGCCTCGACGCCTAACCCAAACGCATCTTCATACTCTTCTTCTTCTTCTAACAAAGATCTGATCCTAGTAAACACTAAAGGCAAAGTGGTGTATAATGCATGTCAGGGCTTGATCTGCGTTCGGGCCGGTTTCAAGGACGTGGGAATTTGTAACCCTAGCAACAGGCAAGTGCATACTTTTCATGATTTCGAGTTCAAAGATACTCCACAAGTTTTTCTACCCCCCAAGTATATGTTGGGGTACGATCCTGTTGAAGATCAATACAAAGTGCTTGCCCTTGATGCTGTGTATTGGATATTGGAGCACAAGGTTGTGGTATTGGGAGGAGAAGAAACTTGGAGAGAGGCTCCGTTTGTAGCATATCCTTACATTGTTTGTACAAGGTGTTTGTATATGAACGGAGCAATATACTATGGGGCTATTTTGAAAGACATTGAGTCCCCGCATAATTCTATAATTGGGAGATTTGATGTTAGGCTTGAAACGTTCACCATCATCAAAGTACCAAGCAAACTTGTACCAACTGGTTATACGAATATGTGGCTTGCTAAGCCATGGCTTTGTACAGATAAAATTTTAATCGACTACAAAGGGACAATTGGAGTGGTCGAGAATCCTCGTGAGGGTAGTTTTCGAATGTGGGTTTTAGAAGATGCTGAGAAAGAGGTTTGGTCTATGAACACTTTTGCTTTGCCTGAATCTTTTGCTCGGCTTGACTTCAAGGTCATGGAAACCTTTTCAACGGGCGAGGTTTGTCTGGTTCTGAACGAGTTTTCTGATCCCTTTTGTCTTTTCTATTACAATTTGGAGGAAAAAAACATGAGAAGTGTTACAATAGAAGGACTGCCTATGTCCGAGCTTAAGAAAGCCCAGCTTCATTCTCTTAATAATTCTTTTTCTGTGTCTGTTTCGGATCATTATGAGAACTCCATGTCCTTCGATAACTAAATTTAACTGGAGGCTAATCTTTACACTTTTTTGTGTAATACAAGACAAATAAATTTGTTCCGTTTTGAGCTTTTAAAATCGTGGCTGAGCACACACCCAGCAATCAGTTAGGCTGGGAGACCTATCTTTCACTGTCGGGATGATTTTGCTGACGATAGTCTTCGGATGAAGTGTTGTGCCTTATTGAAGAAACCTCTGGTTGGTTCACACCAAATATTCTTCATATATTTACATTTGCCATACTGACACGTGATAAAGGAAGAGTAGAATGAGCTACCGTTTTCCATATTCCACTCTAGAAAAAACGATGCTTCAACCAAATGTTAGTGGCGTGACTTGGGGATGAAAGTGACAACCTTATATATGCAATCAACGTAGTTCACATAATCTTTTGAAGAAAAAGATCTTTCGGAGCAGCCATATGGACCATGCGGGTTATCAGATAAGATAGATGGATGGACGAAGGATATGTATATGTATAGATTAAAACAAGTTTATCAGACATAGAGTGAGGAACATTCAAAGTTAATTTAGGGTTTTCTTTTTATAACCGTGTGTGCGGCTACCTAGAATAGAAATATATAATATTTGGAGAATGGTTTAGTAGTATTTAAACCATTTTAATCTCTAAAGCTGAACATAACTTTCTTTGGAAAAAGGCGTGAACCATGCCGTTTCCCTGATACTTGTATTATCGTCTGACCGGTACTAAAATATTTGTTAAGCTCGAGATATGTTTATTTATCAATTATTTTGTCAACGACAAAATTGTCTCTCTTTTTTTTCCCCCGTAATTTCTTTATATCGATAAGGCATATGGCAAGCTTGGAATAATTATAAATTTAGTTTTGCAGTATATCAAAATGATTTTCAAGGTTTCCTTTTTAACTTTTTAAGAGTCTCTTATCCTTTTGTGTTAATGACAATTACTATAAGCTACTTTGGGTTTGTGCTTTTGATTTTAAAGGATTCTAAATGTTGTTTGTTCAGTGTATATATTTCAGTCAAAATCTACGCTTTAACTAGCTATCTTAATCATGCGTTAGTGATCGGATGGTACATAGCATTCCACAATAACTTTAAGGATTACATATTTAAATCCGTTGCTTTCAGATTATTCTAACGTGTGGCTAGCTGACAGGAATATCTAACTCCTAGCAAACAATCGGGTCTGACTAGCGCCAGGGGTCATATCCTCGGGGATTAGTCGGGATCACGGTCCGCCGGATATCCCGAGTAAAAAGAAACTAGTTATGTATTTTGTTTCTATCTACCAATGCTATTGTCTTCTATCACTACTTTTCATTTTGTGAATAATCTGCTTTGTTCTATTTTGTATGCTGTTCCTTTTAAATTCTGTAGTCCCATTTCCGATGGTCTTCTATTTTGATTAGGGGTTTACGCTTTTACTTTGTTAGTAATATACGTTTTCTTATAATTGTTGCTATCTTGTATTTGTTTCATTTTTGTGTTATGAGCTACAAAGTAGTGTACATCATATACAAATTTAAGTCGTCTTATAAGAATGAGTAGTCTAGACAACTTGTCCGATGAAAGTCATTGTCTTACTCTTAGAGCATCCACACCAATGAACCCCCCCTTGGGGTTCATCTTTTCCTTTTTTTATTATTAATTTTTTTGTTTTTTTTTTTGTTTTTTTAAAAAAAAAAAAAAAAGATAGACCAATCGCGGGCCGACACGTGTCGTGTGGCCCACGCTACAGTTAGGGCTGGGCAATCGGGGTCCCAATCGGGTTTCGGTTCGGGTTCATTCGGGTTTCGGGTTTTCGGGTTCATGAATTTCAGCTCCGTTCGGATATTATAAAAATTCGGGTCGGATTCGGTTCGGGTTTAGTCGGGTTCAATTCGGGTTTAGTAACATGTCCAAGATCCGGTTGAACCCGAAATAGTTTCGGTTTCGGATACTAATCGGGTTATCAGTTCTAAAAATACTAATTTATACTCAATTAAACTCACTATATTTTCAATCATTTTATTAAATTTGTGTATTTAGCTTCTACAAACCATATTGTTCTCCTTCAAAATAATATTGTGAAACTCATCTATCAACCATATAAGATTTGTCATTGAACTATATGTGACAACACTAAACATATCATGATTAATGACAAACCAAAGNATATAAGATTTGTCATTGAACTATATGTGACAACACTAAACATATCATGATTAATGACAAACCAAAGCCTTGTATGAACGAAATATAATACATAATGAAACATAAAAATTAAAGTTAACAACTAACAATTCTATAAACATAAGAAGTACTATTTAAACTTTAAAAAACAACATTATATAAACTTCAAAACAAATTTATTTGTAACTTAACTTCAAATGTAATGTCAATCATAAACATTAATATTAACCAAATAACACTATATATTAGACTAAATATTTGAGCTAATTATTTATATCATAACTAATTATTGTAGGTACTCAATAATATATTAATTTGTTTTGGAAACATATTAGAAATTTAGATTGGATATGATACAAGTTTTTTTTGGAATTTTAAAGTTTCGGGTTCTTTCGGATATCCATTTAAGTTCGGGTTCGGTTCGGGTAATACCCATAACCCGAAATACCGTAAAACAAGATCCATTCGGTACTTATGTCGCGTTCGGATCGGTTCGGGTTCCTTTTTATCGGGTCGGATTCGGTTCGAATTTTCGGGTTCGGTTTTTTTTGTCCAGCCCTAGCTACAGTGATGAACTCCAGGAGAGAGGGGATCACTAGAGAGAGTTTTAGGAGAGAGAGGATTATAGGATTTGGTTATTTTAATTTTTTTTTTGTGTTGAAAAATGTGTGAATCCCCCATCTAAACCTTTGATGAGGGTGCTCTTAGGTTGTCTCGTCTACATAAATGTGTATTTTGTTAACCAATGAAAATTCACTTTCTCTGGAGAAGACTGACTTAAACCAATGGATTACAGATAGGGTTACAATAACATTCAATGGACAGCGTTTGTTCTTGTAAATTTGTGGTTCAAATCATAATACATACATATATATATTAACTACCATAATTCCAAAAATCAAATTCATTGTTGAAACTATTGTACAACTACCAAAGAAAATCAATTGAAAATATATAACATCCACTAATATTAATCAACTTAACCAAAACGAAATATATATTTTTTTTCTTTTTGACAAAGCCAAAACGAAATATTAAAATCCAAAGCAAAGCAAACCACACACAAATAGAAAGTTCCTTATAGTAGATATTTTCATCAAACGCCACCTGATGACAGCGGGGGAGTTTTGGCGGTTTTCTGGTCATCGGACGGTTTCTTGACGGCAGAGCTTCCGAAGAGCAAGAAACCGACGGCAAACCCAGCCATAGCGGCGATAAAAATACCGCCGTTAAAGGACATCACCGCGAGCATCACAAGATAGGAGAAACCAACCCTGAGGGTGTACACGGCGGTCTGAACGATCCTGGAGACGAAGCTAGTGGAGCCACCACCACGGAGGATAGGACAATGGGCGAGCCACTCGGTGATTACGGCGAAGAGGAAAACAACGATGAGGCTAAGAGCGTACATACCGGAGCTTGTCCCTGGCCATCCGGAGAAGAGAACCTCCGTGTTCTTACCCCAGAAGAACGTCATGTGCATCGTCATCATCATGTCGGGGTTGGTTTGATTTGCCATTGATGATGATGGTGGTGCCATGTTATGCATGTTGTCATGATCCATGGCTTGGTAACGGTAGGATTCTGAGAGCTTTTGTTTAAGACAAAAAAAATTAAAGAGAAGAGTTGTGATTTTCTTTGTTTCTGTTTATGGTTTCTTAATTATATGTGGTTTGTAGTTGAGCTGTTGTGTAGTACAAGTAGAGCATGCTTTGACTTGTCCAAACTTTTGTATAGTACAACAATTTGTTATATTCGATTTGCCCTATATACCTGTTTTCATAATGATCACGCCTCTTATTCTTTCAATTCGTATTATGAATTGAAAATTAAAAAATATGATACAGACCGTCGTGTTTGGTAGAGGTCTAGTAACTCATACAATATAAATTTATAATCTATGCTTAGTAACATAAGTTACCAAAGAGCAAAAAAATTGGATACCACTGACTCACTTAACAAAAAAAAAACAAGAAAGAAAATAAAAGACTGCTGATCCATCCAAGGGTTCAATGACAAATTGTTGTAATTGAACTGATGAAAATGTTTTGAAGACTATACCCGGCCACTGGAGGATTTACATGCGGACCCTCCAGCGTCTGAGACCGAAGATCGTGTTCACTTAGCTAGTATCCACCTTCAAATATGCATCGACGCAAGGATCAGTCTTTAGTCTGGACCACATGGTGGGACCATGACACTCGGTTATTAAAAAAAAAATTGATAGAAAAGTTCGTCAAGGGTTGACATCAGTTACACTCATATATATAATGTGAACATTCATTAATAACCTCAACCAGAAGATTTTTATTCTAGGATTTCCCTGACTCAATGGGTTTTAGTCTAGGATCGGTCCTGTTTCCGCTAATGTATCGTGGTGAAAGGACATATATTAGCGGAAAGGCTAGTCTAGCCATGTTTGTTTCATCGTCATTGCTATGTCTCTCAAGCAAACAATTAAGAAAACAACAACAACGAACGAATAGTTTAAAAAAAAATTATAGCTCAAAAAAACAACAAATGAACGACAGCGTCCTAGAGGAGCGTGTGTTAAATACGGGTATGGGGATTGTATTTTAGGGCGTGTAGAGCTGGGATCGTTGCTTCGTGTGTTGGATCTGTTTTGGGTTGTGGGTTCTTGAAAATGGCTTTAGTGGATCTTGTTCAAGTATAACATGGACCTTTGGAATGTAAGAGAAGCTTTGATGCACTTGTGGCTATTGTTCCTTCTGCACTTGTTATCTTACTTGTTCTTCAGGCTTTTACTTACCACTTTTAGAAATCTAAAATATTTCCTATCTTTAAAGGTTTAATTAAGTTTCACATTCCCATCACTTAGATGGCCAGAGATAATCCATCTCTGTGTTTCTCGTTCATTTTTTTTTCAGATTTAATTGTCAATTCACAATACCTCGAACTTTTTGAAGTACAAAAAGTTTATCTTTGATTTAACATTAGACAAAGGGACTAACAAGTAACAAAGCATCATTGAATGATACAGCTTCTTTCAAACAAGTTAAACAAAGGACGATATGATGGAAATAGTTCTGTTTCTACTTGATGTTGTTGATACTTTTGCATAGATGTTTTAATAATAAAGCGAACCTGCAAAATTGACGAGATACGAGGCATGTTAGAAGGAAAGAAAGTAAGACATGGATTGCAACATAAATAATTGTTAATTAGAGAAAATATACCTTTCCACCAGTTTCCTCTGGATGCGTCCGTCGAGTTGTTTCCACTAGCATCATCGTCTCCTCTAGGCTGAGCCTTGTTAACCTGATTGAATACGCATTTTGTCAGTCAAAGTCAAGTATGTATCTTTCCTTGACAATCAAGGATTGAAGTGATCAACATGTGAACCATTAGCAACATGATTATGACTCACGTTATGGTAAGTATGGCTGCTTGTGGATCCAGAGTAAACGTCTTGACCACCGTAGTAAAGAGACGAACTTAGATTGCACGTTGAAGATTCTTTACGATGGTCTGTGAGGAAATAACAAAACAGAGGAGATAATGCATTCATTAGACTGTTTTTTCATTTCTAAAAAACTGTGAAGAATATATCAAAGCAAAAACGATAAATCTTCGAGACATTCTTAGAATCAGAGAATTTCTGACAAAACTTGGGTTAATGTAAAGAAAACCAGACCATATTGATTCAGCAAAGGGGACAAGTCTTCTAAGGTTTTTAAGTAAATATTTCCCAATACAAAAACAGTTGGAGAAAGGGTTTTCCACTGACCTATGGACCCATTTTTTGAGCTTAGGATGTTTCCTGATGTTCCCTAAAAAATCAAAGAAAAAAAAATAATTAGTTTCAAAAAATAACAATAGAAAAAGTAACTGAAGGAATAATAAGAGGGGTTAAAATAGAACCTTAGAGGGAGGAGGGAAAATGGACTTGAAGTTGGAGGAGCAAGAACGTTCCTTGGGGCCAGAGAGCTGAGCAGTGATGGAGGAAGAAGATGATGATGATCCCGCTTTTCCTTTACCTTCCATTGCTAATTTATGTTTTTTAAGACTACTCGTTTTTGAACAAAAGGCAAAGATATGTGTAGAGAAGATGATGAAGAACCAAGAAGAAGATAGTTTGATGAGATGTTTAGTCACAACATGATCAGTATGTATTTATAGAGACAATGCTTGCTACTATGATCACGTGACAAGTCAAACGAAAACTAATCTTTAACCGCTTTTACATCAAGTCATTAACTGTTTTGGATATGCCAAGTTAGATACAGATTTAGTGTTGTTTTTTTTCTTCCAGTCAAATTATTCTTGGAATGTTGACAAACATATCTGTACTAAAAGATGTCAAGGGAAAGAATATATTTACGACTTCGATATGTTTCCAACCTTTCTTGCTCACAGAGAGCCAAACTCCAAACTCCAAACATAATCGTATTTGAGCTTCTTTAATCCCTGTTAAGATATATGGGTTTCCAACCTAAAATCAATTGGTGATAAATAGAGTCGCTCATCTATCTTATATATTAGATAGAATCTCTTTTAACTTCTGATGTGGGATCTTTGTTCCTAATACACTCCTTCGAAATGATGACTTTTTGGCGTCAATCTTGGAATGTTCGGATAAGGATTGATGGACCGACTTTGGACTAGATCGATAAAGATCGGGTTGGACTGCGTGGATCATAGGCTCTGATATCATATTAACTAGATGAAATCCTTTCCAACTTTCCATATGAGACTTTTGTCCCTAATAATACCATTAGTGTATATTTTCAAAAAGAAAAGTTAAGAGGCAGGAAGATCTTAATGTCATTTTCGAAAGATTTCACCAGAAATGTCACGTTAATAAAGAATGGTCAAATATCTTTGATCCCATGCCGAAAATGTTCTCCTTGTCTCGTCAAGTAGATGCCATAACATATATATATTTCTTGCTTTTTCACAATATGGTAAGGATAAAAAGAATAATACTGAATGATATTCGAGATACTCAAAATGGATTTGGTCATGTGCGCTAAAAACCAGTCAACATGATACTCTAGATATGTCTAATTTGTTTTGTCATCAATATTGGAACAAATACATAAACGTGAGCGGCAGGATCCGAACTTGAGCCCTCATGATTTCTAGTCATGACCGACAACCACTCAGGCACGCCCACAAGGACAGATAAATTAGAAGCATCTGCTCGATCAACAGTAATAAATGTCGACCAAATTGTTCTTGAAGGAATAAAACAACTTCAACAACCTGAGAGGCCAAAGAGAAAAATGTGGAGAACTAGTCAACTTAGAATCTTTCCTAAAAAAGATGATGGGTTTGACAAAAGTTTAGTCTTTGACTAATATTATGAAGCATCAGAACAAGGAATAGAAGTCTCTACGTTATTTGGGCTCTTCTCACAAACTAAATTATTTCTTCTGTACAGAACAGTTCCTATTGATTTTATTTCCCCCGCTGCTCAGATTTGGCTAAGTGTGATATTTCTTCACTATAACACATTCTGGATCTTGACATGATAACTATCGCAGTCCTTTTCTGTTGATATTGTCCCAATGTAAAAATCAAGATTCAGACTGATCTACAATAAGATATGGTTTAATTAATTTACAGTGCCAAGAGACTGAAAATCTTTATAGTCCAAAATCAGAAGCAACAATCCTAACTTATCAATACTTTAATTTTGTAGGACACCTGCTTGGTAGTACATTTATATCTTTCCTGGTCCATTAGCCGGCCCAAAATTCCGTTCATACTCTGTTACAATGCCTAACCAATCAATTCTCCATTGAACTACAAGTTAAATGTTAACTTGTTGTTCACCTAACTTAGATTTCCTTAATCTAATGGTTTAAATGTTAGTTCGCGTAGAATATTAGCCTTATTAACGAACATTTTTCATGATACAATAATAGATGTAGACAACAAGTAAATGATTAGAACCTAAGTGCTATTGGGAAGGAGCGTGAGTAATGAAAATCGAAACAAAACAAGTATGCGCATTACCATTGACACATACAATGCTTATCACCAGTCGACTAAAAAGGCTTATGGCTTCATGAACACACCAACATGACAATATACATGAAACTGAAAGTATTTGAAATTCCAATAGTACCCTTGCAACATGCTCTTACTTTCCGCCAGCCTGATTTCCGATTCATCAGTAATTGGAGCCTTTGTCATTTTCTAAAACACGACGACGTTTAACAGTAAAGCATGTATAGATAGATATACACATACACCACGCGTATACATAATTTTTTTATTTTTTTTTATTTTGATTCCTCTTTAAGCCCAACAAATTAAATAGTTTCAGAATTTTCCTAGAGAGAAGAACATTCGCAGATTGTTAAACAAGGAAACGATAAAAACTTCCTTCCTCCCTTCTCATTTTTCAGATCTGAATCAATCCCTCGATTCATCCGCCAGCCGAAAAGAGGTAACGTCTTAAATTTTCCTTAGATCCATTTAATAACTTCTCAAAACGATTATGATTTTATATTTTTTTTCCAATTGCGTAGGGTTTTGATTGCGAGATCGGGAAAAATGACGCATCGTGTAGATCAGGAATACGATTACCTATTCAAGATCGTGTTGATCGGAGACTCAGGCGTCGGTAAATCCAACATCTTATCTCGATTCACCAGAAACGAGTTTTGCTTAGAATCCAAATCCACCATCGGCGTTGAATTCGCCACCAGAACTACTCAGGTCCATTATCCCATTCTCCCTTTCTCTCATTATTTTTGGGAGGTTTGGGCTCAAAAAGCCCGTAATCTAGGCCCAAAACCACAACATGTAATATTAGTTTGGTCTCATTTCTTGAGATCTAAGAGCATGTCCAGTGAGAGGTTTTTCCTCTTGGATAAGTGATTATTTGCCAAATAACCAAACAAAAATGGGTCAATAGATTTTTAGTGAGAGGTTAGAGAGATAAAGAAAAATGAGGAGAGAGAGAGAGGATGTTTTTAGTCAGATAGTGAATTTGAATTTTTTTTAATGTATATAAGAGAAAATTTCCATTTCTAAAAATCTCTATGTGTGTATGTATATATTGTATATGTGTATCTAATTGCGGGTTTCTAAATTTTACGGGAAATCCAATCTAATAGTATTTAATGGTTTTTTAGAACTCTAAGTTGAGAAACCACCATTGGACATGCTCTAACTGGTTTTGAATCTTCCCTCAGGTGGAAGGAAAGACTATCAAGGCCCAGATCTGGGACACTGCGGGCCAAGAGAGGTACAGAGCCATCACCAGTGCCTATTACCGAGGCGCAGTTGGCGCGCTTCTTGTCTACGACATCACCAAACGACAGACATTTGACAATGCACTGAGGTGGCTGCGTGAGCTGAGAGACCACGCTGATTCCAACATTGTGATTATGATGGCTGGGAACAAATCTGATTTGAATCACTTGAGATCCGTTGCGGAGGATGACGGGCAGAGTCTGGCTGAGAAGGAAGGTTTGTCTTTCCTTGAGACGTCTGCTCTTGAGGCGACGAATGTGGAGAAAGCGTTTCAGACTATATTGGGTGAGATTTATCATATTGTTAGTAAGAAGGCGTTGGCTGCGCAGGAAGCTGCTGCTGCTAATTCGGCGATCCCGGGGCAGGGGACTACGATTAATGTTGATGATACTTCTGGTGGTGTGAAACGAGGATGCTGCTCTAACTAAAAGCCTTAAGGTAAAAAGCTGTTGTTTCGCTTGCTTGTTGGGGCTATTCAGAGATTTCAATTTTTTTTTTTTTTTTTTCACTTTGTGTTTTCAAGTTTTGGTTTGATGAGACGTAACTATGGAAAGACCATGTAGAGTAACACTTTGTGTTCATTTATTCTGTTTTATGTTCTTTGATTTGTGTTCTTTTAAAAGCTTGTGAGATTCTTTAGTCAGTAATGTACACTTGCATTCTGCTTGTGCTTTTTCTTCTTCTTTTTCTTGCGATGGTGTGTTATGGTCATGTCTGGTTTATAAAGTATCCTATCTCCTATCTCGAGAGATAGAGACAAAAAAGGAAACTATATAACTCTCATTTTCTGATATCGGGGTTAGGCCGGTTGGTTTCTTATTAATGTAACTATTTTACTCATTGAGAGGCTGCTACAGTGTTACCAGTAAAGGATTTTGATTTTTTTTTATTAAGAAGTTTATATTTTCACTAGGGACTTGTTTAAATGAACTAGATGAATACCTGCGGATATGGAATATAGATGTTGTTGCTAAACTTAGACACTTTATGGAGTTAGTTCGAAGGTAATAGCAGTCAATGCCAACTTCTGCCATCGCAAGCTCAATGTAGATCAAATGTGTTGCCACGTTGTTGCATAGAAGAGGAGACGTGTATCGGTGTAATCATGCCTTATTCTAATGTCTTTATGCTCAAAGTGTAAGGAAAATATCAGGTTTCTAACGTCAACACCATTACAACAATAGAAGACAAACGAAGATTATTGTTCTCCTTGCAAAGGAACCCATCAATTTCAGAAAAAACGTCCAACTACATTCATTTTGGGTCTCGCTCTACACTAGATGTTAAATAATTGATTGAGTGCTCAAACATTGATCAAGAACAATATCAATAAGAAATGATTCATGGAAGAAACAGTGTCATCAAATGCAACTACGATGTGTCTCATCACGAGGGAGATAAGGAATCCGGTATGGGCAGGATACTCAGAAACTCAAAAGGCGAGTTTATAACTTGTGGTGTGGAGAAGTTTGAAGGAAGACATACAATACAAGAAACTGAATGTTCAACACTAGTACACTACTATAGTCAATGCAATCAGTTTGGTCTTTAGGTTTTCACCAAGTAATCTTTGAAGAGGATAATCAAACAGTAGTCAATACCGTCAACCAAGAAGCAGAACCTAAGATCAAAATACTAAATCTAACGGTAAAAATGTTTGTGTCTGGATCGGTCTCCTCAAACATTACAACCGCGAAAAAAAATTCATAGTTATTTTTTTCTTAAATCACACAAATTGCAACTGGTTGGGGAGGAAAATGTGACTAACCTAATTCAAAACCATCCAAATTGGGCCTCATCCACAAAAAGGCCCAATAAGATAAAACATTTTCTTACCACGTGTAAACCAACCACTGAAGTAGCAGCGAAACTAGTGGCTGGCTTCGGCAAGTCCGCATCCCCATCGACTCGATAGACCAGCCGCGAAAACTTTATGTTTCCCTTCCCGGGAAAATCTCAACTCACCGGAAAATGTTCCTATCTCACCCTCCTCAAGCTACACAACCAACTCATTACTACACCGTCAATTTCTCACCTCGCTCCTCTCCAAGACCACACTCCTACTCCATCGCCTTCTACAATCCTTCCCCAACCTCCGCCACAGGAGCCAAAACCTCCAACAACAATCATCTAATCCAATCCCTTTGCAAAGAAGGTAACTTAAAACAAGCTCTCCGCGTCTTATCCCAAGAACCATCCCCGAGTCAACAGACTTACGAGCTTCTAATCCTCTGCTGCGGTCGTCGCAGCTCCCTCTCCGACGCCCTACGAGTTCACCGCCACATTCTCGATAATGGGTCCGACCAAGATCCTTTCTTGGCGACGAAACTTATCGGTATGTACTCGGATTTGGGGTCGGTTGATTATGCACGCACGGTGTTCGATAAAACGCGTAAGAGAACTATTTACGTTTGGAACGCGTTGTTCCGAGCGCTTACGTTAGCGGGACATGGAGATGAAGTGTTGGGTTTGTATTGGAAGATGAGTAGGATTGGAGTTGAATCTGATAGGTTCACTTATACTTATGTTCTCAAGGCTTGTGTCACGTCGGAGTGCACGGGGGAGCATCTAGCGAAAGGGAAAGAGATTCACGCGCATCTCACTAGAAGGGGATATGATTCACATGTTTACATTATGACTACGTTGCTGGATATGTATGCGAGATTTGGGTGTGTGGATTATGCACGGAATGTGTTCGATGGAATGCCTGTTAGAAACGTGGTTTCTTGGAGCGCGATGATCGCTTGCTACGCGAAGAACGGGAAGGGTTTTGAAGCTTTGAGGACTTTTGGTGAAATGATGACGGAGACTAAAGATTCATCCCCGAACTCTGTGACTATGGTTAGTGTGCTTCAAGCTTGTGCTTCGCTCGCGGCGTTAGAGCAAGGGAGGTTGATTCATGGGTATATACTCAGACGTGGGCTTGATTCGATATTGCCTGTGACCAGTGCTCTTGTGACAATGTATGGTAGATGCGGTAGGTTAGAAGTGGGGCAGAGAGTGTTTGATCGGATGCGTGAGCGTGATGTTGTATCGTGGAACTCGTTGATATCGAGCTACGGTGTTCATGGATATGGTAGGAAAGCAATTCAAATATTTGAAGAGATGTTAGCTAATGGGGCTTCCCCAACTCCTGTAACGTTTGTCAGCGTTTTGGGAGCGTGCAGCCACGAGGGACTTGTTGAGGAAGGGAAAAGACTGTTTGAGTCAATGTGGAGAGACCATGGGATAAAGCCACAAGTGGAGCATTATGCTTGTATGGTTGATCTGTTAGGTCGGGCGAATAAGTTAGAGGAGGCAGCAAAGATGGTACAAGAGATGAGGAGTGAGCCAGGGCCTAAGGTTTGGGGCTCCCTTCTTGGTTCTTGTCGAATTCACGGTAACGTTGAGCTTGCAGAGCGTGCGAGTAGAAGGCTCTTTGCTCTTGAGCCGAAAAACGCAGGGAACTATGTGCTGTTGGCAGACATTTACGCAGAAGCTCAGATGTGGGATAAGGTGAAGAAAGTGAAGAAGCTTCTAGAATACAGAGGACTGCAGAAGCTGCCTGGTCGGTGCTGGATGGAAGTGAGGAGGAGAATGTACTCGTTTGTCTCGGTGGATGAGTTTAATCCTCTTATGGAACAGATTCACGCTCTCTTGGTTAAGTTAGCAGAAGAGATGAAGGAGAAAGGGTACGTACCGCAGACCAAAGGCGTGTTGTATGATCTTGAGACGGAAGAGAAAGAGAGGATAGTTTTGGGACACAGTGAGAAACTAGCGTTGGCGTTTGGGCTGATAAATACAGCGAAAGGAGAACCGATAAGGATCACCAAGAACTTGCGTTTGTGTGAGGACTGTCACTTGTTTACAAAGTTCATCTCAAAGTTTATGGATAAAGAGATTTTGGTTAGAGATGTGAACCGGTTTCATCGGTTTAAGAATGGTGTTTGTTCTTGTGGAGATTACTGGTGATAATAATACTAAGGGGGCTTTATACGTTTGTTTGCTTGTGAATAATAAGCAAGGGAGAGAGATGTCGACTTGAGCCTCGCTCTTGGACCTAATCAGGCCAAAGAAATAACAAGCAGGTTAGGCTTTAAAAAAATTTCATGTAATATATGCCAACAATATCTGTTGGGAATCATGATTCTTATAGCATACATATTGTATTTTAGGGGGTAGAATAACGTTTCCTCATCCCATAAACTCTCTATGGAGAACTCGTTTAAGATCGCTACAACTTTACTAGCAATACAACAACAGCTTCTAAATCAACAGGAGCAATATATTATGTGGAAGTGATAACTATATTAAAAACCCCATTTAACTTCTTTATAAATCGATAAAGGAATTCTAGACCCGTTTAGTTTTCTTATAATTAATTTCAACAACCAATATATAGCGCTATATCATCAAAAGTATAGTTATTTAATTCTTATTTTGACTAAAAATATTTACTACTATAAAATGATATTGGTATACTCTTATCAGCAGGTCAGCCCATGGGACAAGCAAAATAACCAACAGTTTAAGGTTCAAAATGTTTTTGAGATATCTATTCTATTAAAACAGAGTCATTCTTTTTATCTACTGATACAAGTTGTCATTTAAATTTGGACAATTTCTAGAGTGTTACAAATAATACAAGTTATATAATTAATTAAACCGCATTACTTAAATTAAACCGGCGGTTATTTATAGAATAGAGTTTTGGGCTTACTTTTGTTTTTATGACATTTAATTGTTTGGTTTTTGGGCTTAGTATTAAAGAAAAACTTCAAAAAACATTAAATAAATTTTCCACCTTAATGGATCAAAAATCAATTACTATTTTCAGGCCCAAAAATATTTAATATTAAAAAAAAACAAAATGATCTATTATTAATCACTTATTTAAATCATGTACTTTAAAACATGTTAATATTTTTAGCCCAAAAATATTTAATATTTTCAACAAAACAAAATTATCTATCATTAATCACTTATTTAAATCATGTACTTTAAAACATGTTCATATTTTTTATTTTAAATAACAATCTCTCTATCTTGATAAATTTTAATGGTAACTTTTAAATAATTTATTCTTTTATTTTGCTTTAATAATTTACAGATTTTAAAAAAATGTAAAGCAAAACCAAAAACCAAATCTAAAAACTAAAATCCAAAACCAAAAGCTGAAAACGCAGGTTATATTTTTTGCTTTTTTTATTACAAAATAAACTATTTCAAAATTTTTAGAAAATTATTTTGTCATCTTTTCAGTTTTAAATTACATGTTCGATTAATTGAGATTTGTTTGTTGGTAATATCAGTTCAAACTAACTTAGCAGGTCTAAAAATTAAAAACCCAAACTAAAAGCTAAAAATCAAAAATAGAAACTTAAAAACTAAAAACCAAAAACAAAAATTTAAAACAAAGTCTAAAAATAAAAATTGAAACTAAAAATTAATGAAAAACAACTATCACCAAAAATTTTGGTGAACTGATTTTATCCCAAAACATTCTTTAAATTAAGATAAAACCCAATTACATAAATTTTTAATCATAAAAAATTTATGTGCTTGAATTATATTTTTTGTTTTTTATCACAAAATAAACTATTTCAAACTTTTAGAAAATTATTTTGTCATCTTTTCAGTTATAAATTACATGTTCGATTAATTGAGATTTGTGGGTTGGTAATATCAGTTCAAACTAACTCAGCGGATCTAAAAATTAAAAACTCAAACCAAAAGCTGAAATCAAAAATAGAAACTTAAAAATTAAAACCCAAAAAATCAAAATCTAAAAATAAAAATTGAAACTAAAAACTAATGAAAAACGATCATCACAACAAATTTTGGTGAACTGATTTTATACCAAAATATTCTTTAAATTAAGACAAAAGCCCAATTATATAAATTTTTAATCATAAAAAATTTGGGTGATATCAGTTCAAACTAACTCAGCGGATCTAAAAATTAAAAACTCAAACCAAAAGCTGAAATCAAAAATAGAAACTTAAAAATTAAAACCCAAAAAAATCAAAATCTAAAAATAAAAATTGAAACTAAAAACTAATGAAAAACAATCATCACCACAAATTTTGGTGAACTGATTTTATACCAAAATATTCTTTAAATTAAGACAAAACCCCAATTATCTAAATTTTTAATCATAAAAACATTTCGCGCTTTTAAGCGCGGGTCAAAATCTAGTTTACTTTATTAAAATAGAGTCATTCTTTTTATCTACTGATACAAGTTGTAATTTAAATTTGGACCAATTCTATAATGTTACAAATAAAATAAGTCATATAATTGATTGAACAGTATTAATTATATTAAAACAGCACAAATAATGTAAACTACCTTCAAAATATGGCAGGTATCTATGTGTATACCAAAACACATATTTTCTCCTACAAATATGGAATGTTCTAAAAGAATATATATCATCAAAATATGGAATATGGAAATCTACTAATTATACTTAAATTAAACCAGTGGTTATCTATGGAATATAGTCTTAGGCTTACTTTTATTTTTTGAACAAATTATATAGTTTGGTTTTTGGGCTTAGTATTAAGAAAAAAACTCTAAAAACATTGAATAAACTTTTCACCTTAAAAGATCAAAAAATCAATTATTATTTTCAGACTCAAAAGGTATTTAATATTTTTAACAAAACAAAATTATCTATTATTAATCATTTAATTAAATCATGTACTTTAAAACATGTTAATATATTTTTTTTTATTTTAAATAATAATCACTTTGTTTTGATAAATTTCAATGGTAACTTTTAAATAATCTCTTGTTTTATTTTTCTTAAATAATTTACTGACTAAAAAATGTAAAGCAAAACAAAAACCAAATCTAAAAACTAAAATCCAAAACCAAAAGCTGAAAACATATGTTATATTTTTCTGCTTTGTTTATTTACAAAATAAACTATTTCAAATTTTTTTTTAAAAATTTGTTGTCATCTTTTCAGTTTTGATTTAGATGTTCGATTATTTGAGATTTGTTTGTTGGTAATATTAGTTCAAACTAACTCAGCGAGTTTAAAATTAAAAACCCAAACCAAAAACTGAAAATGAAAAGTAGAAACTTAAAAACTAAAAACCAAAATCTAAAAATAAAACTGAAACTAAAAACAAATGAAAAATAATCATCACCACAAATTTAGGTGAACTGATTTTATATCAAAATATTCTTTAAACTAAGACAAAACCCAATTATATAAACTTTTAATCATAAAAAATTTCTGCGCTTTCAAGCGCGAGTCAAAATCTAGTTTTAGCTTAAGCAAAGGGTCCACAATTTTTTACCTTAAAAAAAGGGTCCAAAAAATATATTTTGAGTGGAACCTTATTAAGGTTTTGGCTGATCCCGACCCTGCTTATCAGATTGAGTATATAGTCAATTTTACTACATAAGGTATGAAACTAGCCAATATTTTCTGATTTGATATATATAGGTATATCGATTTCTTAAATTATTTAAATATAATGACATTCAATAACAAAACATAAAAACTAGAAAAAAATGTGATCAAAATATAGACACTTAAATCAGAATCAAAACCGAAAACTCCATATCCCATATTTAAACTCACAAACTTGAATTGGACTCGAAATTTTATTGGACTTCTAACATTTTTATTTGAACAAAACCAATATAAAAAACAAACAAAACCGAAATTCATAATAACTGAAATATTACTATATTTCTTGAATCGCAAATGAAAACTTACAAATGAACCAGAACCAAAAAAAAAAATATATATAATATATGATGCAAATTGAAATTAATAAAAAATCACCAAATCATCTTATATATTAAAACAGAAGTCATGACTTGATTTCATGTGTGATTTTTTTAAAAATGGACTATTACTAGAAAGTCATGTTGCATTAACTCTCTAATAATCTTATCATTATTATGTCTTATGAAAAATCATATCTATAATAACAAATATACGCTTAACAATTTGGTTTTGGTAAATTACCCCACACCTTCCAACTTAGTCACACAAAATATGTTAATAGATATAAGTTTATGAATCTACTATTATTTATAAGGAAATATGTCAATAATAGTTAAATGCATCTACAATATATTAACAAAATCAAAGATTCATAATATGGAATATTTATATACCCTAAAAAATTTACACGCTATTTATACTAGATAAATTTATTTCGATGTAAAATTTTAGAATTATATTGTTTTAAAAATTAAATTGTTTACAAAATTTCTTTTTAATAAAATTCTTTATAATATTAATTTATGAAGCTATAAGTTTAGTTTTTAGCAAAAATTTCTTTGAAGTTTATATTATCTTTGAAAATGAAAGTATACTAATATTTAATCAAGCTCTATTTATATTACTTTATCTAAAAATGAAATATTAATCTAACAAACAATAAAATGTAGAAGAAGAAGCAAACACATGTTTTCAAACATGTGTAATATAGAAAATTAGAAACAATCTATTTGATTAAAACACGTATTATATAATATTATTATGTTTGAAAACATTTACTATAGATATCGTAAATATGTGATTACTACAATATATACCAATTTTACAAGTGAAAACAAAATGTTTATATAACTAACTATAAACGAAAACAAACACTCGCGCGGTTGCGCGGGTCAAAATCTAGTATACTTTTAATTTTAAAACATAAATTATGAATATATAGTCCCGCGCAATCACGCAGATCATAATCTATAATCTAGCTATGATTACTTTGTGGCCTAGGATGAACTATTACGTTACATACCACCACTGCCATTGTTACCGAGAAATGTAGGATGAACGAAACATAACAAAATAATATAAGGCAGACAAAGAATGAAAAATATTCAAAAACATCTTGCTGGTTAGTTTTAATCGATATAATCTTTCAAGTTTGCTGATTTGACTATAAAATATTCTGATTTATTTTCCTAAAGTAAATATATTGTTAGAGATTTCTTTCCTTAGTTCCTAAATTTTCCCATCTCGAGATTTTTTAAATAAAAAGGATATGATCTGACGTATTAAACAATGAATATTCAACAAAATTAAATTTCAATATTTTGATAAAAAAATATATTAAATTTCAATATATTATATCAAATTATACTTTAGTTGTTAGCTAACAATATATATATATATATATATGTATATTTCTGGCTATATACATATATGAATATACAATACAATATGTTTAAATTTGAAAAATGTATTCAAACTATATAAATATTCAGATATTTATTTATTTATTTTTTTGCTAACCAAGTTTCTGATCTCATTGAAGTGATGCAGATTAGAGACCGAAGCGAACATGTACACTGTGAGGACATCACCATGTACCTCACCTATAACGGTATTCGATTTTGGATGTTGCAGTCCATATGTAAATTCCGAAATGGCCAAAGCTCGAACCCAAAAACGGACACTGCAGATGGAGCTTCTTTACCACTAGACCAAAGTAACTTGGTTAGATATTTTGTTTAGTTTATAATTTTTAAGAGTAAATATATTTGTATGTTTTGGAAACCAAATATTAATTATTGTCACACTAGTTTATTAACTATGAAATTTACAATTTTAAGATTATTTATTTTAATTATAATTAAAAATTATGCATGCCATATTAAATAATGTTTTAAATGACAAAACTGTATGCATGGCGCTAGAAATATCGCATATTAGTTCAAAATGTCGCCATATGATTCATATAGTTCATGTAGATTTAATACATTAGTTTTGTTCATATGTGTAGTCATGTGGTGGCATATCTCCATGTAGTTAACAATCGATTTTCTTTTTAATAATTAATAAAATATAAACTAGAATACATATCAAATTATAAACCACATTTCACCTACAAATAAACTATATAAATATTTTAAAATGTTATTCGAAAAGACATAAGAGAATAATAATTAAAAATAAAAAATAACATATGTTTCTTTAACTTATCAAATATTATATTCAACACTTCCATATCTATACATTGACTCCTCTTTACAATATTCACTTCCTTTTCTAACCATTTAATAGTGAAAACTAGATTTTGACCCGCACAACCGCGCGGGTGTTTGTTTTCGTTTATAGTTAGTTATATAAACGTTTTGTTTTCACTTGTAAATTGGTATATATTATAGTAATCACATATTTACGATATGTATAGTAAATGTTTTTCAAACATAATAATACTATATAATAAGTGTTTTAATCAAATAGATTGTTTCAAATTTTCTATATTATATATGTTTGAAATTGNTCGAAATAAATTTATCTAATATATATAGCGTGTAAATTTTGTTAGGATATATAAATATTCCATATTAATAATCTGTGATTTTTGTTAATATATTGTAGATGCATTTAACTATTATTGACATATTTCTTTATAAATAATAGAAGAATCCTAAACTTATATCTATTGACATATTTTGCGTGAATAAGTTGGAAGATGTAGGATAATTTACCAAAACCAAATTGTTAAGTGTATCTTTGTTATTATAGATATGATTTTTCATAAGATATGTATAATAATGATAAGATTATTAGAGAGTTAATGTAACATAACTTTCTAGTAATAATCCATTTTTTAAAAAATCACACATGAAGTCAAGTCATGACTTCTGTTTTAATATATAAGATATCTCCAATGTGTGGTTATCTCATTATACTATAAAACTCTTTCAACAGTCTCCATAATTTTCAAGTCCATTCAACACTTCCATATCTATACATTGACTACTCTTTACAATATTCACTTCCTTTTCTAACCATTTAATAGTGAAAATATATCCAATGTTTGGTTATCTCATTATACTATAAATATCTTTCAACAGTCTCCATAATTTTCAAGTCTATAGATAATAATTATACAAATAACTCAACAAGGAAAAAAAAAAACAGAAACAAGTATGGCTAAAGCAACTTCTTCACTTGTTGTTGCCCTCATCTTTCTAGTGATGTTTTCTTTAGGTATATATTTTTCTAAATTTATTCATAAAGTATAGCAGGTTTCTTAACAAATAAATGTAATCTAAACTCAATTGATCGGTACATATCCCAACTGCTGTAAACTTGTAGTATGTTCTGATATTAGTTTGTGGTATATGCTAGATTTTCACTTTTTCATGCAATATTCAAAGATGTTCTTATAACTATATTAAAAATTAGTTTTATCTTTATTTCTTTGCAAAATATCAAATATGTTGATTTTAGTCTATTATATCTCCTATGCCTTAGAATAGTTTGTTGTCTAAATTTAAAATAAAATAATTTTGTTTGATACAGTTGAGGAAAATATGGGATGTCGAGTGGATTATGGCTCATGCAAGGATATGCCAAACTGTCAAGTTTTTTGCCAGGTTAAATTTGGATCAGCTGCATCGGGTTCGTGTGAAGGCGGCTATGAAACGGGAAGATGTTTTTGTGATTTTCCAGGTCCTTGTATCGGCAGATAAGATTCATATGTGGTTCGAATGTATCCTGAAATTTCATTCTTTTAAAATGAATAAGAAAAAAACTTATTTTGAATGTCAAAAATCATGGATATTATGTTCTTTTTTTTATCAACAATTTCATTTCATTCAAACAAAGAGATTCTAACAATCCCCATTCCCGGAGGAGGAGCTTAAAAAGTTAAGAGCCGATTTAGCCAAAAAATCGGCTTCAACATTAGCTAGGCGAGAAACAAACTTAAAGGAGATATGATCGAAAGTATAACCGAAGTGATAGATGTCAAACAATATCTCAAATAGTGCTGGACGAGAAGCTCTACTCTTCAAGATGTTAATCAAAGTGAGAGAATCGGACAGAGCCATATGAGATTTTATGTTGGACGATGCAGCGGTCATCACTGCTAAACGAATGGCGAGGGCCTCAGTCATAAGCGCCGAAGAAACAGACCTGCGAGAAGAGCTAACAGGGGGCAGTACCGTGGTACTCAGGCCAGATAAGATAACTCCAAGACCACAGAGAGAAGAGTTAGGGTTCCAGGAAGCATCAACATTACACACGACAACACTCTGTGGCGTAGCAAACGGAATGGTAGACTCACGATGAGGTATGGGGATCACTTGTCTGCGATTCTGAGCATTTTGCCATTCCTTAGCATCGGAGATAGATTTAGAAATAATCTCCATGCTGGAGAAGGTCATGGATACTATGTTCTGTTATAATATTTTGTCTCTAAAGTATTTTAAATGGATTCTTTAGTATTAACACAAACTAGAATACGATCCGCACTAAAACGCGGGTTATGCTTGTTTATATTTTTACAGTAAAATATCCCCTATACATTATTTGCTAAGTAATTTTTTAAAATTCGCTTAGGTGTCATCTCTACAATGCTTCTCACAAAATAATGATGACATGGCCTCGTTGCAAATATGACATGGCTCATGAAAAAAGATGACATGGCTAATTAACATTTTAATATTAAAAAGTTATATATATATATGTTTATCTATGAATGTCTATGAACCTTAATATTAAAAAGTATATATATATATATATATATATATATATATGTATCTATGAACCTTATACAAAACATACGACACCGTCTTATACAAAACATGCAGACGTCTGTGAGGGGTAAAACTCACTTTCTAATTTAGGTTAGGTTAAGATTGGGGAGAAGACAATCGTGGGCTGAATCCCTTAAGAACTTAGAGAATGAATTATGATTGTATTGATGAATAAGATTTACAAAGATGATTCTGATGAGTACAAAGAATATAATCGAATGATTTGAGAGTTACAATGTGTGTGTAAATTTGTAAAAA